TTTCTAGAGTAGTCAGACTCCTAGAGGCAGAAGACAGAAGGGTGGTTGCCAGGAGCTGGGTGGAGGAGGGAATGGGGACATGTTTTGTAATGAGTATAGTTCCAGTTTCACAAGTCAAAAATAATTCTGGAGATTGGTTGCTCAACAGCGTGAATATACTTAATACTGTTGAACTATACACTTAAAATGGCTACGTTGGCAAATTTTATGCTACTACAATTAGAAAAGACTGTCACAAAGTTGGTTCTCCCAACTTGATGGTTTTCTTTCAGAGTGTCTTGTCTATTCGTTGCCCTTTGTATTTTCATACACTTTTTTTAATATGAAATTTATTGTCAAATTGGTTTCCATACAACACCCAGTGCTCATCCCAAAAGGTGCCCTCCTCGATACCCATCACCCACCCTTCACTCCCTCCCATCCCCCATCAACCCTTAGTTTGTTCTCAGTTCTCAACAGTCTCTTATGCTTTGGCTCTCTCCCTCTCTAACCTCTTTTTTTTTCTTCCCCTCCCCCATGGACTTCTGTTAAGTTTCTCAGGATCCACATAAGAGTGACAACATATGGTATCTGTCTTTCTCTGTATGACTTATTTCATTTAGCCTAACACTCTAGTTCTATCCACGTTGCTACAAAAGGCCATATTTCATTCTTTCTCATTGCCACGTAGTATTCCATTGTGTATATAAACCACAGTTTCTTTATCCATTCATCAGTTGATGGGCATTTAGGCTCTTTCCATAATTTGGCTATTGTTGAGAGTGCTGCTATAAACATTGGGGTACAAGTGTCCCTATGCATCAGCACTCCTGTATCCCTTGGGTAAATTCCTAACAGTGCTATTGCTGGGTCATAGGGCATTTTCATACACTTTTAAATAGGCTTGTCAGTTTCCACACACACAAAAAAACTGTTGTGATTTTGGTTAGGATTGCAGTGATCAGTTTGGGAAGAATTGGCATCTTTACATTTGTAAGTCTACGAGTTTATAAACATGATAAATACATCCTTGAATTTATTTAAGTCTTTTCATTTTTCTCAGAAATGTTTTATAGTGTTCAGTGTAGAGAAGTCTTGCATATCTTTTGTTAGATTTATTCCTAAATATTTGCTATTTTTAATCCTGTTTTCTAATTCTTCATAGAGAGAGAGACAGTTAATCTTCTTTCAATCATTTTTAAACATTTCTAAACATAAAATTCATTAGTATGTTCACATTGTTATGCAGCCAACCTCCAGAATCTTTGATCTTGCAAAACTAAAACTGTTCCCATTAAACAACTCCCCCATTCCTCCCTTCCCCAGTCCTTGGTAACCACCCTTCTGCTTTCTGTCTATAGGAGTCTGACTACTCTAGGTGCCCCATTTAAGTTGAATCATACAGGTATTTGTTTTTTATGACTGGCTTATTTCACTTTAACCTAATACTTCGTTCATATTGTACTATGTATCAGAATTTCTTTCCGTTGTTAAAGCCGAATGCTATTCCATTGCGTGTATGTGCCATATTTTGTTTTATCCATTCATCTGTTGATGGACATTTGAGTTGCTTCCACTTTTTGGCTATCGTGAATAATGAAGGAAAGTGTGCAAACATCTCTTTGAGAACTTGCTTTCAATTCTTTGGAGTGTATACCCAGAAATGGATTTGGTAGATCATATGGTATTCTATTTAAAGTTTGTTTTTGTTTTTTTTTTTAATTTTTTTTTCAACGTTTATTTTTGGGACAGAGAGAGACAGAGCATGAACGGGGGAGGGGCAGAGAGAGAGGGAGACACAGAATCGGAAACAGGCTCCAGGCTCTGAGCCATCAGCCCAGAGCCTGACGCGGGGCTCAAACTCACGGACCGCGAGATCGTGACGTGGCTGAAGTCGGACGCTTAACCGACTGCGCCACCCAGGCGCCCCTATTTAAAGTTTTTTTAGGAGCCACAATACTTTTTTTCTTATCAGCTGGACACCTTTTTACATTCTCACCAGCAGAGTACAGGGCTCTAAAAACAGTTGTTTTTTAAAATATTGATCATGTATCTTCAATGTTGCTATGCTCACATTATTCTAATAACTTACTTGTAGGGTCTTTGGATTTTCTCTATATAGAATCATATCATCTGTGAATAGTGACAGCCATTCTTTTAATGGATTCTTTTAATGGATATATAAAATGAGTACCATATGGCAGTGAAAACTGAATATACTATAGCTTTAGGCATTAATGTGAATTATTCTTAAGTATAACAATGAATTAAACCAGCAAGTCGAAAGTTTAGAGATGAAATTAAGTAAAATATTATCACTATGGATACATACATAGGTGGTAAAAATAAAGTAAAAGTCAAGATGGTGGTTACCACTAGGGGTGGAAGAGGAATATGATCAGGGACAAACTCAAGGAGACTTATAAGTTGTGGTAATAATCTTCTCTATTCAGGTTCTTTGACTTTCAACTGTATATATTTTATGAACTTGTATGTATGCTGTTTCATAATGAAAATTTTTTAGGTGAAATTGGAAAATGTAGGCCTGTCTACCATATGTAGAAAAAAAATTGCTTTTATGTATTTTTTAAAAATATATTAAAGGAAGCATTAAATAGGTAAAAATATTTCTGAACTGATAATTTTACTTAAAATGAATGCATGAACTAGGGAGTTTTAGTTAAATTGATTTTCACACCCTTTTGAGACCTCCGTAAATAAGTCTTTTTTGGGAAGTCAAAAGTAACTGCTGAATGGAAATTCTTGGCTTTTAAAAGATAATTGGAAACTAATTGGCTTGGGTTCCATTTTGTAACTCTTTGAGTAAATGTAATGTGCCCAAGAAATTCTCCTAACCTAATAATAGACTGTTTGAAGGCATTATATATCACAGTGGCATTCCTTTCACTGACTGGTTGATTTCAACAGCTGGGCTTTTGAAAGGATTACAAACTGCCATGTTTTATTAGGGTGACAAGTTCCAGCTTTGTCATCTCCTCTTATTTTTCTAGTAGTATAGCACTTAAATTGGGCTTTTTCTCCCAAACAATATTACCAGTTTCTCTGACATGCTGAAGAAACAATGTTCATGGCAGTGGAGTCAAAACATCCTTCAAGGAATGTCAGCTATTTGGGCCCTGGGTGTGTGTGTGTGTGTGTGTGTGTGTGTGTGTGTGTGTGTGTGTGTGTGTGTGTGTGTTGGGTATCCAAGTTGTTTTCATCCATGTGTTGTCCTCAAATGGACCAGGTACTGCCAGGGAAGCAACCAGTATAGTCCGTGTTCTTTCCTGCTTCCCTACCCTTCTTTTCCTTGGTGGTTAGCATCCTAGTATTGGGGTAGCATCCACTGAAGGCCATGGTGCCCACAAGCCTGTCTTCTCCTTTGGTCTTCCTCTGTCACCAGCCCTTTTAAATATGAATGACTGCAGAAGACTACTTAGTGGCACTAGTGATAACTGGGGTGGTAACCAGCAGAGAGTCTTGGAGAAGAGTGTTTCATGTTTCTCACTATTTACACCAAGCAAAAGTGCATTTGTCTGCAGTTAGCAGTTAGCAGAGTGTCTTGCAAGGTAGAGGAAATAAGAGTCCCAGACTAGTTTGTGTGGAAAGAGCCGCTAACAGTAGAAATTGTGTGGTCAGGAATCGACATAGGACACATATGTATGTTTGACCAAGTATAAAGGGATTTTTGCCTCCACAACCTAATCACTGGAGTGTGAACCCATGAACTCCTTTCCCAATTATAGACTTCATCCACCACCCACCCACACACGCTCTACAGGTAGCAAAACAAAAATAGCTCAACTCATAGTAAGTGAGCACTTTATGGTTTTATTTCTTCAGCCCCCTAAGTGTTAACTGTCCCACACCATGATGATGTATGTAACTGAAGAGTACATTTGATGATGTATTCCAATAAAGAAGAATAACAAAGTCCTGCAACTGGTTAGAGAATATTCTATGACCTTTGTAAAAACTTTATTCTTACTATAACATATTTAGACTTGGCTGTGCCTCTGCCTTGAAGAAAAGAATTTGGTCTACCACTGTGTGGTTGTTCTTGTTCTAGGAGGGAGAAGTTGAAGAGTAATGCTTTGTGTTCCCAGAAACAGACAAGGAGATTCTCTCCAGCCCCAGCTCTTGCCTTTCCCACCCCATCAGAGTATTTATTGGAGCAGAGAGAACACACTGAATTTTCCAATACAAGCTCTATAAAATGATGCCTGACAGTTAAATTCTAACTTAGAAGTATGACAAAAACCCTACACCACCTTTCTCTGAAGGGCAGACTTAACTGTTGAATGGAGGAGAATTGCAAGGAACATTTTGGTTTTTGTTTTTGCCTCCTTTGGGAGAAGGGATAATGTGTGATCACATATGTACTTCTCCAGAATTGAAGTAGATCCATTCTGTACCAGAAATGTTTGAAGATTTGGTGAGTTTTGTGTATCCCATTTACTATATTGAAGCAAATTAGTAATTCTGAGTTTTTGAAGGCAGTTCAAGAAGAGACTTACATGTTCTCACCAGCCAGGCAAATATTTGTAGACTGTAACTTTTCCCCCTTCTTGTACTCCATCACAATGTAAATGAGCCACCGAACTACTACTTTGTGCAAGAGAAGTTGCAAGTAAGTACTTGATTTTGTACCAGAAGGACTTGTGACATTAAAGGAAATGCAGTCGAAACTTTCTGTGAAGAAAGCAAACTCTTTAAGGAAACATGGAAATCACCCTGAGATTGACTGGATTTAACCTCTCATAAAACAATTTGAATTTTAGGAGTGCCTAGGTGGCTCAGTTAAGCATCCGACTTTGGCTATGGTCATAATCTCACGGTTTGTGAGTTTGAGCCCCATGTCAGGCTCTGTGCTGACTGCTCAGAGCATGGAGCTGCTTTGGATTCTGTGTCTCCCTCTCTCTCTCTGCCCCACCCCTGCTCATGCTCTGTCTCTCTCTAGCTCAAAAATGAATAAACATTAAAAAAAAAAACCTATTTGAATTCTATTTTTTCAATTTCAGATTCAGCCCTATGAAAAGATAAAGGCCAGAGGCTTACCTGATAATATATCTTCTGTACTAAATAAGCTGGTGGTGGTGAAACTCAATGGTGGTTTGGGAACCAGCATGGGCTGCAAAGGTCCGAAAAGTCTGATTGGTGTGAGGAATGAGAATACCTTTTTGGATCTGACCGTTCAGCAAATTGAAGTGAGTAACATTCAGCCTTTCTCATGAACAGTTTTAGGTTATTATAAATGTTACCTTATGAAATAACAGATGTGGATAGCAAGGAATTTGCTATCTTTAGTTTTTTTATTAGTACATTAAAAGGTTTGGTGATCCCAAGGGCAAATCCTTAGGGTGATGTAAAAGCTTTTGATCTTAAATAGCCCTTGTGGTTGTTGCAATTCTGGATCTTTTTGGAGTCTCCTTTGATCTCCCCCACTCCTCTGCCAAATTTCTTTCTAGTGGCAGCCTTCCTCCCAGCTGGGATGATCTGGCTTTATTAACCCCTTTTGGGAGGCCAGGAAGAATTTTCAGATCTGGTTGGGTGCCGTGGATGCTAAGAACCGTGTCTCTTACGATAAAGTTGTTAATCACAGACCTTAAATTCTTCAGAGGCAGTGGCCTGTGTTTTGCAAAAAAGAATCTCTTATCTCTAGTGTCTAATACGACGCTGGCAACTACAAGACTAGCAGTAGCAGCAGCTCACGTTTATCTAGCATGTACTGTAAACTAAGTATCACTCTGAGCTCTTTTCATGAATTGACTCAACAGCTAAGTACTCTTTATTCTCATCCCCATTTTACAGATGAGGAAGCCAAGGCACAGAGAAGTTGATTTACTTGCCCGAGATGGTAGTCTGACTTCTGAGAACCTGTTTTCTTCTCATTCTGTGTTGCCCCTAACTTTTCCTAGAGATTGAAAAGATTTCAGTTGGGGAGTGATTCACAGTTCTTAACGTGAATCCTGAGAGTAGGGAGCTGTGTCTTTGTAAGATTTGTACTTTCATCCCCACTGTGCTCTGGACAGAGTAAATAAATGCGTAGTCAGCATTTGCCTATCCAGTAAGGCCACAGGGCACTGGCTGGGCACACAACTCCGGAATTGGACTCTGCCTCTCTGGGCCTCAGTTTAGCCATCCACATAACACAGACAAGAGTTTCTGTTTCATAGGATTGTGATTTAATGAGCAAGTACATGGTGAACTATTTAGCAAAATGTCTGGCTAATGCTAAATATTTATATTTGGCTGCATATAGGTAATGTTTTGGATACTTTGTGATTAAACATTAAGGGTTTTACACTTTTAAGTGAAAGTAAAGTAAATCCGAGTAATCTGTTATTTTCCTCCCTAGCATTTGAACAAAACCTACAATACAGATGTTCCTCTTGTTCTAATGAACTCTTTTAACACGGATGAAGATACAAAAAAAATACTACAGAAGTACAATCATTGTCGTGTGAAAATCTACACTTTTAATCAAAGCAGGTACGATAAGATAAGTTAAAAAAAATAAGTCTGAGGGATGTTATTCCTGGGAAACAGACTTTTTTCTTGTTGAAACAGAGCAACATCAAGATGTGCAGTGCCACAAACTCGTGTTTGCAAATGCTTAGTGCCTTTAGAGGCTGAACACTTGTTCATAGATAGGTGATACAGTCACTCTGCGATTCTATAACCTTAATTCTTAAGAGAGAACCTGCTTGTTCCATGTTCAGAATATTTGAGGCTGGCCTAGGTCTTGGCTTTCTGAGAGCATATTTCATGGGTCTATGAAAATCTTTTATAGTCTACCGTGTTGATAACTTTCTTTCATATGAGAAGACATTTATTCAACATCCTGAATAGGCTTGGGGGGAATTTAATAACTTCTGGAAAAAATCTTTGGGGAAGGGAAGCACAGTCACACCTTGTTAGATTGCCTTCCACTTTGTTGTGCTTTGCAGATACTGTAGTTTTTCACAAGTTGAAGGTTTGTGGTGACCTTGCATTGAACAAGTAAGTCTGTTGGTATTGGTGCCACTTTTCCAGCTGCATTTAGCTCACTTTGTGTCTGTGTCACACATTTTGGTATTCTCACAATATTTCAGATTTTTTCTTATATTTGTTGTGACCTGTGATCAGTCATTATGACTTGCTGAAAGCCCACAGCATTGTTATCATTTTTTAGCAATGAAGTGTCTTTTTAATTATGGTATGTACGTTGTTTTTTTGTTTTTTTAAAACATAATGCTACTACTGCACACTTACTATAGTATAGTGTAAACATAACTTTTATATGCACTGGATAGCCAAAAAAATTTTGACTCGCTTTATCGCGGCATTTGTCTTATTGCTGTGGTCTGGAACAGAAACTGCAGTATCTCCAAGGTGTGCCCATAGAAAGGAATTCAGATGATGAATTTTGATAAAGCCCAGGCAACTGGGAAAAGAAGTCTTCCATTTAAGGATGGATATGGGGCTATGTGAACTTGTACAGAATGGGTATTTCTAAAATTGTATCATCAGTTGTTTTTGTTTTTAATCTACTTTTTCATGGACATTTTCTATGTTGCAGGTGCTCTTCCTCTGTTTTCTGGTTGGTCCTTGGTCTGTTACAGTGCTAGCTCCTCTGTCCCCCCCTCCCCCACTGCCAGCCCCGGTACATGTTCTCACTAGTGGTAGGAAGCACATGTCCTTGAGCACTAATCTGCTGTTGACTTTTCTGGGAAAGAAACAGCACCGCCCCTGAATAGATGTCTTTGTAAGAATGGACAGATTCTACCAGTCTACCAGATAGATCTCCCAGATAGGCCAAGTAAGTTTGAGAAATTGACTTCATGTAAATTCATTAAATTAGAGTACTCTAATCTATGACTCTTTAAGAGTTACAAAATATATTAGTATCTTAAGAATATGCAGTGTCCTCCCATTTGTATGATGATGGAAATTTTTTTGCAGCAAATATTATGATGAAGTTAATTGATTACTGAACACAGATAAGAGATTTTTTAAAAGAGATTTTCTTAAATGGACTTACCTCATTACTTTTAATAGACTGAAAAGTTTTATTTAACTTTGTGGGTGTTTTGAAAGTTTTATTTATTTATTTTTTTTAATTTTTTTTTTCAACGTTTATTTATTTTTGGGACAGAGAGAGACAGAGCATGAACGGGGGAGGGGCAGAGAGAGAGGGAGACACAGAATCGGAAACAGGCTCCAGGCTCTGAGCCATCAGCCCAGAGCCCGACGCGGGGCTCGAACTCACGGACCGCGAGATCGTGACCTGGCTGAAGTCGGACGCTTAACCGACTGCGCCACCCAGGCGCCCCATGAAAGTTTTATTTTTGAGAGAGAACATGCACACGTGTGCACACATGGGGTAGGGGGAGGAGCAGAGAGAGAGGGAGAGAGAACTCCGGACCCCGATGCATGGCTCGAACCCACAAACCTTGAGATAATGACCTGAGTTGAAACCAAGTTGGATGCTTAACTAACTGAGCCACTTAGGTGCCCCAGTTTTATTTAACTTTAAATGCACTGTTTTACTTGAAGGTCTGGAATACTCTCCGAATTGATATTGAAAAAGACTTTTTTTTTTTTAAAGGTACCCGAGGATTAATAAGGAATCTTTACTGCCTGTAGCAAAGGATGTCTCGTACTCAGGGGAAAATACAGAAGCTTGGTACCCTCCAGGTCACGGTGATATTTACGCCAGTTTCTACAACTCTGGTTTGCTTGACACCCTTATAGGAGAAGGCAAAGAGTATATTTTTGTGTCCAACATAGATAATCTGGGTGCCACTGTGGATCTTTATATTCTTAATCATCTAATGAACCCACCCAATGGGAAACCCTGTGAATTTGTCATGGAAGTCACAAATAAAACACGTGCAGATGTAAAGGTAAATACTGAGAGGAAGCAGTTTGGGGATTCATATCTCACATTTCACAGGTTATGTAGCTCAAGCTATTTTTATTTGCAGAATTTTTTGTGTGAAGCAAAACACATGTATCCACTTGATAACATCACTGTAAGATAGAGTGAGATAGTATACTATAGAGCACTCTTAAGTTTCACCTGACATAACTGTGTGGATATAAATCAAGAGTTAACAGTATTGTTGAGTAATCTATAGGGATGATTCTAACTGAAAACAATTTCACATATATTTGTAGGATAAATCTGAATCCTAAGTGAAAACAGTTTCAATGTTTGTTCATACCTTTAATATTCTTCTAGTTTGGTGCTTAAGTGTATTTATTTCATTGTTCCTTTAGTGAAAATTTACTATTTCTGTTTTTACTTATGCACTTCAATATATTTTTTTATCACTGTAATGTCTCTGTAATTGGAAAAAAATGCAGTTGTTTGGCACAAATTTTTTTTATGATATTGCATGTTTAGTGGTGATGACACTTGGCATTTGATGAAATGGTACACAAGGTTTTACTACTTAGCCACAGGGAGTAAGAGAAGTAGACAGTGTGTAAATACTAAAATGGTCACTTCCTGGGCTGGGTTCTATGCTTCTTGCAAATGCCCCCTGATAGGTGAGTGAACGTTCCCCTCTCCCTACACTGCTGTCACGTCATGACTTTAAGAACATCTCTAAGCGGAGGCCACTCTGGGGGTCACTTCTCATCCAGTTGTGCCTCGGTCTTCCCTCTTCTCCGCTGATCCTGCAGCCAGTCAGAGCAGGGTCTGAGGTGGTAGGACTAGTTGTTTAGTGATGGACTGTGGTTTGGGAATAAGAGGAATGGCCGTTCCAGTAGCAGGCCTTCGAAAAGTGAGGAAGGCTCGATACACTCCCACGGCTTTTACTATGGATGAGAGGGTGGGTACACAGTATAAAATGACACACAACCTGAATATTTTTTTTGGTTCACTACTATAACATGTATGTTGCTGCGTATTACAGATAGAATCAGTGCGAAAGCGTTTGATTTCTGGGGGACTTTATCATCAGTGTCCTTTCACAGACTAGAAAATAGTGTGGTATGGCTGTGACTGGGAGAGATATGGAGGCACTCACACACTCCTGTCTGCCTTTCTAGGGTGGGACCCTCACTCAGTATGAAGGCAAACTGAGACTGGTGGAAATCGCTCAAGTGCCAAAAGCACATGTTGATGAGTTCAAGTCTGTATCAAAATTCAAAATATTTAACACAAACAACCTGTGGATCTCTCTTGCGGCAGTTAAAAGACTGCAAGAGCAAAATGCTATTGATATGGAAATCATCGTGAATCCAAAGGTAAGCCACAGGTGCAGCCCTGGTCTCCCTAGTTCCTAAGATCATAATAGGTGGGCTGCACGCAGACCTGCTGCCCCCACTCTGTCTGGTCCACCTATTCATTGGTTCCTCCTTTTTGCCTAGTCAGTCTCTCCAGTTTCTGGCCCTGTCGTTCCGAGTCTACACCCATCCATCTCTTTAGTGTACCAAGCCCTGGTACCCTCACTTCACCTGGGGCTGTGGTAGCAGCAAGAGCACAGGGCCCAAAAAGAGAGCAACCGACCTCGGTCTTACTTGTTGCTCTGACACTTAAAGGTCTTTTGGCCACAGACAGGCACCTTGCATGAGTTTTCTGTGAACATTTGGTTCCTTACTGTAAAATGGAAATATTAATAAAGAGAGGAGTTATGACGCCAAAAAAAGACCACATCTGTATAAGCTCCTGGCATATGGTATGTGTTTGCTAAATATCAGTTCTCAAAATTCTTGTTTCCTTCAATGGGTCTCTGAAACCACTCCCCAAATATTAACTAGCCTCCACAAAACAAAGTTGCTAAAACCTATTTCTCCTCTCCCCCTGACCCCTCTTTTTTTCTTACAGACTTTGGATGGAGGCCTGAATGTCATTCAGTTAGAAACTGCAGTAGGGGCTGCCATTAAAAGTTTTGAGAACTCTCTAGGTATTAATGTTCCTAGGAGCCGTTTTCTACCTGTCAAAACCACATCAGATCTTTTGCTTGTGATGTCAAACCTCTATAGCCTTAATGCAGGATCTTTGACAATGAGTGAAAAGAGGGAATTTCCTACAGTACCCTTGGTTAAATTAGGCAGTTCTTTTACAAAGGTACGTAATGATAGATACGATATACATGTGCATTTGTATTTCTTAAATGTGTAAGTATAAAAATGATACACATATGAATTGGGGTCTAATTAGTCTCAGCTGCTAACCTATTATAGTCCTCTGTCTTTGATGTCTTTTAAAAGGAATCAGCTGTTGAAGATAAACATGTAATTCACTTTTGAAATCTGATTATTGCTATAGAGTAGAAAAGAATGTTTACATTTCGGGACATTTTACTTTATGTCTCCTGTAAAACCATTTACTGTTTTCGTCAGTGGGAGAATGTTAATTGTTTAACAAATATTGAGCCCCTACCATGTGCTGGGCAGTGATCTAAGTGCTGGATATTTAGCAGCAAATAAAATGGACTAAAATCCTTGCCTTTGTGAATATTCTGGTGAGGTAAGAATGATAATAAGCAAATAAATGTATATATGTCAAGTGATGGGAAATAGTATGAAGGAGAATAAAGCAGGAGTAGGAAATGTGTGGGTGGGGTGGTGTTGGTATAATTTTATACTGGGTGGCCAGAGAGACGGTCTCACTGAGAAATGAAGTATATCATGCAAGTATCTGGGGTGAAAAGCATTCCGGGCAAGGGCAATAGCAAGTATAGTAAAACCCCACCCTAACATGATAAATGGAATTCAAAAAATTTCATCATGGAGGTTCCCGGGTGGCTCAGTCACTTAAGTGTCTGACTCTTGGTTTCAGCTTGGGTCGTGATCTCATGGTTCGTTGGATTGAGCCCCATATAGGGCTCTGCGCTGACAGTGAGGGGCCTCCCTGGGCTTCTCTACCTCTCCCTCTTTCCCCTGCTCTTGCTCTCTTTCTGTTTCTCTCTCATAAATTAATATTTAAAAAAATTTCATCACATAAAATATTGTGAGGTTAATGAAGGTGACAGGGTGAGCCTTTGTGGCTGGCCTGGAGTCCTGTTATGCCCTCCAGGCCTGTTCTAGTCCTGGTTGTGGTTTAAGTGCCACCTGGTGTGGAGGTATGTACTGCCTCATATATTGATGGCAGATGATTCTGGGTCTTGTGGCTGTGCTGCATTTCCCAGGATAGCATCAGTCCCTGTTTTGGGTGCCTCTCATCAGCCTGGCTGAGCTGGGAAAATCCTGGTGGTACAAATACTCACCATTTTCCCACATTCTGAAAGGGTATTGTCAGCCATTTTTCTACCCAGCCTCACCCTGCCTTCACTTTCCCCTCACTCTTTCTAGCCTCTTCCATACCCTGCAGGAGATAAGAACTTGAGCTGCTCTAATTTGAGAATACGGGCTGAGTGGTTAATGGCTACTCAGAGGATGAATGTGTTTTAGGGACAGAACACAGTCTGCCTGGGGCAGAGCAAGTGAGAGATGGGGGGAGGAGTTGGTCAAAGAGGGAACAAGCCCAATATGTAGAACCTTGTCATTGAATACTGGGAATGTAGGTGGCTTTTTTTTTTTTTTTTTCTTTTCTTCTGGTGGATGAAAAACCATCAGAGTTGTGAGCTGAGGGGTGAAGTGACTGATCTGGTGAGCAAGAGTGGAATCAGGGAAACCAGGGAACAGGCTATTGCAGGAATCCTGGCAAGAGGAAATGGTGGCTTTGACCAGGGTGATGGCAGTGGGAATAGTTGACGTTCTGAGATATTTTTAAAGTTGTAGCTACAGGATTTGCTGTTGGACTAGATGGGGAGTGTAAGAGAAAAGATTAGGAAAGACGCCAAGGTTTTTAGCTTGTGCAATTGGAAGCATGGAATTGCCAGCCACTTACAGAAATGGGGGAAGTAGGTTTAGGGGAACAGATGTAGGGAAAGCAGGATGGGGAGTTGAGTTTTGGAGATACTGAGTTTATTAGACCTTCAAATTTATTAGATTCTTTTTAGATCAGAGGAGAGATCTAGAAGATATAGGTACATGTCCTTCATGTACAGCTGGTATTTAAATCCATGAGATAGGGATCACCTAGGAGGAGGTGTCCCAAGAACTGAGCCCTAAGGTAGTCAAGGCTTAGAGGATGGGGATGAGGTGAAGGAAGCAGTAAAGGTGACTGACGAGTTACAGGTGAGGAACTGCATGGAAAACCATGAATGTGTATGTCCTGAAAGCCAAATTAAGAAAATGTTGAAAGAAAGAAAGAAAAGAAAGAAAGAAAAAGAAAGAAAGAAAAAGAAAGAAAGAAAAAGAAAGAAAAAGAAAAGAAAGAAAAAGAAAAGAAAGAAGAGAGAAAAAGAAGAAAGAAAGATCACCTGTGTCAGGTGTTGCTGCTGATTCAAGTAAGATGAATGGTTCCAGTAAGATCAAGGAGAATTCACCACCAGATTTATCAATATAGAGGTTCTGGAGCCTGACTGGAATGGATTTAATAGAAGAGAAATTAGATGAATTTGGACAACTAATTCAAGAAATTGGTTTTACAGAAAAGCAACAATAAAAAGCAGCCATAGATAGGGATATATGATTTGAGATATTTTGTTTGCTTTTTAAAGGTGGGAGAATTTATGGCACATTTATACATTGATCAGAATTGATGCAGTCAGAGGGAGAAAACATTGAAGGAGAAATAATCACTGGATAATACCCTTGAATTAGGCCATAAGAAGGACTGGCCTTAAGTTGGAGTAAAGAGTCCCACCCCAGTAACAGGAGGGACAGAGTAATGGGCTAGGGAGCAACTGAGTGGTAGTAGAAGCCAGTGAAACTTTTCAGGTTGCTTCTAATTTTCTTAGCAAAACAGGAAATGAGGCCATAGAAGACAATTTCTAGTGCCTATAAATCTAAGGAAACAAGAGGCGGTAAAGATAATGATCATTTATAATGATAATTTGTGCTGCTGTTCATGAAATACTCCATTTCTTCTGAATCCTACCCATCCCATAAAGCCCAGCTCCAGTCTAGGTTGCTTCAAACAGTGATGATCTCTCTTTCTCTTTCCAGCTAAACTCCAGATTATTTGAATTACTCACTGGGCTCTTATCATGTTGGTTATGTTTTGATTAATTCATTCATTTTTGAGAGAGCGAGCGAGAACAAATGGGGGAGGAACAGAGAGATAGGGAGATACAGAATCCGAAGCAGGCTCTTAGCTGTCGCATAGAGCCCAATGCGGGGCTCAAACCCACAAGCCATGAGATCATGACCTGAGCCAAAGTCAGATGCTTAACTGACTGAGCCATCTAGGCACCCTGGATACCTTTTTATGTATGTATGTGTGTATGTATTTAATGTTTATTGGGGGGGGGGGGGGGGGGGGGGACAGAGAAAGAGAGAGATTAGGAATCTCAGAGCCTGTCAGTGCAGAACCCAACATGGGGCTTGAACTCAAGAACCATGAGATCATGACCCGAGTCAAAGTCAAGAGTCACTCGCTGCTCAACCAACTGAGCCACCCAGGCACCCCTATCTTTTAATTTATTGTCTGATCTGCTCAGTGGTGTTATAAATTGCTTGATTGTAAGGATGTTGTTCATATCTCCTGGTCTCTCCTGCACAGGATCTAGCATATAGAAAGTGCTTAATAAATTGGTTCTTCCCATAGAGGGTCTGAGCTTGGCCATAAATAATGTTTTCACAGTTCAGTTAAACTAACTTGTAAATTGAATACCTGCTTTTTCTGGTAACCCATTTTTGAAACAATTTCTTCTTCCTTCTCTTTTCTTTCAGGTTCAGGATTATCTAAGGAGATTTGAAAGTATACCAGATATGCTTGAATTGGATCACCTCACAGTTTCAGGAGATGTGACATTTGGCAAGCATGTTTCACTAAAGGTGTGTTAAGATGAAATTTTTCGTTCTGCTAGCTTTACAAAACAAGTTTAATTTTCTAGTCCTAAATTTACCTTTATTTTAAGGAATAGTTCTTAGTCTATACCAGATGTTTGTTTATAAGACATAAATACATTTAAAAAATGAAATAGCTTACCACAATATTTAGTATTAATACTATCTTCCGTAGAAATACAACATAGTTAAAATACAATCATAATTGTTGTATATATGAACTTTATGGAATATAGCATTCAAATGGAAAGCAAATACCATGAAGTAATTTAACTGGTACTATTTTACTGAAAATCGGAGTCTTTAAAATAGAATCACTGTTAAATTAGCATTAGCTCACCAAATCTGAATCTTAATGAAAGGAGAAAAAATGGCAACTTCAGTTTTACTGAACATAATCTATTCCTGTTAAGGTAATCTGTTGTCATCAGTCTAAAGATACAGATCTTACTGATAGTAAAGATACTACACCATAGTACTTGGATACTTTGAGTATTCTTCTAGCTTAAGAAATAGGAAGGACTATGGGTATAAATATTAAAGTGCAGAACCAAAGATACCACAGCTTTTTCCTAATTATTTTTTTAAAAATCCTATGCCTACATTACATGTGGCATTCTTAGTAAAACTACTTAAATGAAGATCTTGAAAAAAACATAAGGATATATGTGTATGTATATATATATATGTGTGTGTCTAGATGTATATACAGTTGACCCCTGAACAACATGGGGGATTTGGGGTGCTGAGCCCCATGCAGCTGAAAATCCCCATCTAACTTTTGATTCCCCCAGACTAATAGTCTATTACTGAGTGGAAGCCTTACTGATAATAGTTGATTAACACATATTTTAGTAGGTGTTTTTATTATGTACTGTATTCTTATAACAAAGCAAGCTAGAGAAAAGAAAATGTTAAGGAAATCATAAGGAAAAGACATTTATAGTACTGTATCAAAAAAATGCATGTAAATGGACTTGCACAAACACATGTTGTTCCAGGGTCAACTATACAGACATACATACGTGTGTATATATACATATACATATATGTACATGGAACTTTATTGCTGAGACTGCCTCATCTAAACAGCCTCCCCTAAGACATGAAAAATAAATTAGTAAACTGGTTTTAACAACAAAACAAATCCAAACCTATATGTAAATATAAACCAAGCACCTCAGTCTCTTTATGAAGGTAGGTAATGCTGGTGACATTGCAAGTGGTTCTTCGAAAGGGCCAGTTATGCTGTGGCACTGGGTCCACTTCTCACTCCTGGTACCACCTCTGATACAGAGGCAGGGCATCTGGAACTACTGCCAGGATTGTTAGAGGGACACATTATACAATTTTCCTTAACATATTTTTTTGTGGTTAATATTGCTTAGAAATACAACTGTTCCATTGTAAATGGAATTCTGCATAAATTCGGTGATTGTAAGGGAATCAGTTGCATTTCGGCTGGTTTCAAGTACACTCTCTTCTGTTTGATTTTCCCTGTCACATAGGGAACAGTTATCATCATTGCAAATCATGGTGACCGAATTGACATCCCACCTGGAGCAGTATTAGAGAACAAGATTGTATCTGGGAACCTTCGGATCTTGGACCACTGAAATGAAAAAAAAAAAAAAAATACTGTGTACACTTCATACTAATTATGGGCTAAACAGTTTCTTAACGATGAAATGTTCTCTAGGATTCTAAAATTGGCAGGTACTTTACTATGCTACTGTACCCTGCAGTGTTAATTTTTAAAGTAGAGTTTGCAATATGCTTTTAGTCCAAGAAAAGCACAGTTGGAAGCAATACTTTTCTTTAATGAGGATCCTGAAAGTTCATCTTAAAGTGCAATATTGTTTAATCTTAAAACTGGGGCAGCTCTGCTGGAACATCTTTGAACAGAGGCCTCAATGATGGTCACTTTGAATTGCTTGTGATTTAAAAAATAAAGCTGTGAGGCAATCCATGTGTACATGTATACTTTCAATGCTAACTTTATGAAATGAAGAAAAACAGTTGACTCTTGCGAAAGTTGCTATTTCGTTTGGAAGATTTAGTCTTGAAATATTTAAGTATTCACTGGCCAGCTACCTGACACATCTAGTTTTTGCATTTCTAAGAATCTTAACCACATCATTCTTTCCATAGGAATTAAACCTGAAGGTATTCCATACCTTTCATCTAGTTCTAAAGCTGGGATGCCTGCCATGCTTTCCACAGACTCTCCACTTATGAACACAAAGTAATGTTTCTTTTCCCAGGTGAAGGGATGGGGTGGGTAGAGGTAGGGTTTTTCACTTACATACTTGTTCTCCAGTATGGTGGGGTGGAGGTAGAACTTTATAACAAGTTCGCTTTCCTTGAAGCTTTCTTGTTGTCACTGAAAATATTCATGAATAACCTTCCAAATCAGCTCTGCTGGTAGTTGAATTTGTGGCTTTTCTCTAAGGATTAATTACATTTTCTAATTTTTCCATTCTTGTTTTTAAGTAGGCTGCTTGTAATTTAAAATTTACTTGTACAGTATTAAAAAAAAAAGTTGCCTTATAAAGTCTGGTAATTTTTTACAGCTTTATTTTAGACAGTTTAAGAACCAATGACATACCTTAGTAATGATAAAGAAAACAGGCTTTCCTTTTAGGAAATGGAAGAGCACAAAATAAGACTATTATTTCATTGTACATAATCACAACAAGATTAGGCACTCTGACGGGGTTAGGCAAGACTCCCGGTGTGAGGTGAGGCACAGGCACTTTCATTTGTGGAGTGCTGCTGATTCTAATTTTGAAGGTAGGTATTATAAAATCTTTAAATAAGTTACTCATCACCTTATTTCTGGCCGCAGAACAGCAGCCTATATTTTAAAAGTTCCATTTCTCCCTGGTCTTTGTTCATATACATGTCGAAAGTAACTTAAAAACAAAAACCCAAGGGGGCCATACTTCATCTGTTATCTAAATGTTAAAATGAGAACTCATAAATACGCAGAATATATGAAAATGTATTCTAACCATTTGCTAGAAATAAAAAGGCAAAAAAACCCACAAACCAACCCTTCATAGATACTTGTATAAAAATACAGCTATTAAACTGCAGCCTTTCACATACCCCTTCTGAAAAGTATTTAAATTAGTAGTTGCATAAATAAATGCCAATATCTTTTTCTTTAATTATTACTGTGATCAGACTTTCAAGTATTTAGACTATTCTGGAAGGCTTTACTCAGATGACATACAGTGGTGGTAGAAAGATTAAATACGTGACACATGAGGCCTGAAACTTGACATTGGTCACTAAAACAAAAATTGAGTTCCTAAATCCAAGCAATCAAAAGATGTTTATTTTTCATAGAAAGATCTGTGTAAAAAAATAATTTTTCAAACAGCTTTACTTTCATAGAGAAAACTTTCTACAGAGGTTGACTAAGATTTTAATATTTTAAATTGTACCATCATTAAATAAGGTGGGACACCATATGAATTTCATTGCACTGGAAGAAATGCAAAGCATTTTTTAATATAAAGTATACAGAGCATTCTAGTCAACTACAGCTGTGTTACAGCTATGTGTTCTTTTGGATTTGGTCCAAAGAAACCTGAGTCTGTTTCCAGAGAGAATGAAAAATGTTAGACACCTGATCAGTTACTCCTCACTGAAGGAAGCATAAAAATGGCATTCCTTGTAGATCCCACTGAATCCCAGTTTCCCAACACTGATACTTTCCTTTCCCCCTTCCCCTATCCCGTTCACTCTGGGTTCCAGGTTCAGTTCTTGAATCACAGGCATCCATATTTTCTTCACAAACATACATATCCCATGGTCAGATGAGCTACCCAGTTTTCCAGTATGTCATCACCTCTTCTGTTCCCAGATCTCGGACATATTTAGGTCCAAATCTTTAAGGCCTTTTAAGGCTTGAAGATTTCCAGTGTAAAAAGCTACATCTGCTGTGACCAACCTAAACATTGGAGAGAAAACTATTTTTAATCTCACACTCTCTACGATAAAGTAGCAATGCTCACAGAGTCAGTCTTATTCCTAGCTGCTAGACTATTAAAATTCAGATTTCCTAGGGACCAAATGTCAATATATTTCTCTTAGCAAGATTCCTGCCATCATATAGTTAGAGCGCTCTATTTCAACAATAAATATCTTGGAAAGGAATAAACCAGTGCAGGTTGAAATTGGTTTCATAATTCTGCCCAATAAAAAAGATTTATCTTTAAAAAGCATGAAACAAAATAGAAAAATAATAGGTTAAGATTTTTTTTGTAATCAGTTGTCACTAGACTATACAGTTGACCCTTGAACAACACAGCTTTGAACTGCGTGGATCTAATTAGATTTTTTTTGACATAGTAGAGCACTAAATGTACTTTCTCTTATGATTTTCAAAACATTTTCTCCAGCTTACTTTATTATAAGAATATAGTATATAACAGACAAAGTATGTGTCAATCAGCTGTTGATATTAACAGTAAAGCTTCCGGTCAACAGTGGGTACTGGTACTTCAGTTTCTGGGGAATCAAAAGCTACATGTGGGTTTTCTACTTGTGAGTAGTTTGGTGCCCCTAACTCCTGCATTGTTCAAGGATCAACTGTACATATATATGACTAATGAAATCAGGTGAAAGACAAGGTTTCCTGAGTAACATCCAAAGAAGCTAATGAAGGCTGGGATTCATGCATATATATTACTACATATAAAACTAGATACTGATATATAGCAACACGAGATGAGAAAAGAAAGTGTTAACACTTTTGAGCACTGAGCTGTCACATGAATGTCTACACTTGAGAGAACATTCCAGGAAATAACACTCAGATACATATCAAAGCTCCATGCATGTAAAACAGGGACTGGTCTGAGTAGACGTATATTTTGACAAATATGGCCCATGGAAGAATAGGAGACCTTAATTTAGTAGTTTGTAAAAGAGAAGAAGAAATCCAGCTTTAGTATTTTAATGAACACGTAAGTTCTGGATCGCTGGACTACATGGGGACAGAGGTGTTAGAAGCACCCTTAATGTTTGTACTACAGTCTAATTTATAAATGCTTTTGGACTTAACGTGCTTAATGTTTGACCTTTCATCACATGGCAGAATTTAACAAGGACCATATTTTTCATTTAAAACTCATCTAATTAAGATGCTTTAAAAAGATTTGAAATTATACTTGTGATAATATGGTAAGTGCACTGAAACTAACAGCAACAGCTCAAAACAGAAAACCTTTCTAAGGCAAGGTCCCCCACATTCAAAACTAAACCTAAAATTAACATAAATCTCCATTTAAAAATATTTCCATAATCCTATCAAAGTTGAAAATTATTGTTTAACATAAAAGGAAATATTGGCAAACACATAACCAACAAAAGATTAGCTTGAGAGCATATGCAAAAATCTAAAATCGACAAGAAAAAGATAATGCCCAAGAGAAAAATGGACAAAGAAAATGAACAGGAAAAGTGAAATGAGAACACTTCAGTGACTAATGAATATATGAAAAGATGACAAACATTAGGAAATGCAAATCAAAACAAGATACCACCTGCAATTATTAAAAAAATCTAATAGCAAATGTTGACAACATGGTGCAGCTACTTTGAAGAATATTCTGGCAAAACCTAGCCGAGTGAAAATGTACATATGCTGGTATTAACTTGTGGATATACTCTAAAGAAATGATTACACCACTAGACATGCATATAGATCTTCACTGTGGCATAGTTGTAATGGAAAAAAGTAATAACTTAGAAATCTCTCTTGGGGAAATGGCTGCATTAAATATAGTTGATTCAAGTGGGAGAAATGTCAAAAAATGGACAACTCCTATCAAATAGATAAACCAGTAACAATGCTGAGTGGAATAAAGTAAGCAGCACATGCACAATATACCATGTAAGTTTATAAAACAGTGCTACATATTTTTTTTAAGATCTAGAGATAAGGAGAAGGACTTAAAAATGTAGGCCAAATTTATTAGAAATATTGACTAAGGTTGGGGAAAGAGAATGGGACTGGAGATGGGAGCCAGGGATACTTCAATTTCATTTGAAATGCCATTTTTTTTAAAACATTATGAACATTTTTCCAAGCGAAATGATAAATGTTAATGATTAAGTAGCAGCAATACAAATATTTTCTTTACGTCTGTATTTTTAAAATGTCTGAAATAAAAAAAATTCCATTTAAAAAACAGGGCTGGGGAGAAGGAAGGTAGCAAGTAACTGCTTAATGGGTACAGGGTTTCTTCTTGGGTTTTTTTTTTAAGCTTTGATCTTATTTTATTATCTGACTGGACAACTAGACAACAGGAACTAGAACACACTTGTGAATGCACTAACTGCTACTGAATTGTTAACTGCAAAATGGTTAATTTTATGTGAATTTCATCTTGAAAAAAAAAAGTACATTTTTAAAGCCATTCCAGGAACAAAAATTACTTATAAACAGGTAGTTTATTATGTCTTTTGCTAGAGTCTAGAGGTCAATTTTCAGGGAATTCTATCTTTCAAGGAATCACTCACAAGACATGAACTGACTTACACAGAATTAGTGTCTTTAAAAGTGTATGACAGTGAAGATCTCTAGGTTGGTAAGACCCCCAAATAGCTATATTAACAGAGAAAATAATAGGTAATGAGTTAGCTTCAATGCTTCAGAACTACTGGTCAGAAAAACCCATGAACGAACCAACCCAGACTTAGCTATGGGAATAAAAATAGAAGGCTATGGGTCGAGTAGGCTTAAAAGTACTAGTTTTTTAAAAATAGTCTCTGAGACATATTTGGTATTCATTAAACTGTCCTTGAACTTTTCTGTGGCTCTGAAACTTTTGAAAACAACAATTCTTAAAAAAAAAAAAGAAAAAGAAGAACCAGGTAATAATTAAGGGAGAGAATCAGATTGTTGCATAAAACTAACTCAGCGTGGCCAACACATTCAGTATTATGAAGCTCCCAAATATTTTTTGCAAAATCAATTCAGTGTACTTGTTTTGTTGGACAGGGCCAATTTCTGACTCCAAAATGCATTTTTTCATTTGTTCCTATAAGTTTGAAATTGAAGCCCAAAACTTAATGTTTTATTCCTAAAATCCACAGAACAGGTAACACACTGAGAAAATCATATTAGGATGTAGCTTCATGATCAGTGCTTTTGTATTTTATATAATTTTTCCCCATATCTTTATGTTCTTCACAAAAATTTTGTGATGGTACTTTTTACCATCATCCCTATTTTCAAATCCAAGAAAATAAAAGTGCAAAAATAAAAGTGATTTACCTAACGTCACACAACTAGTAAGTGGCAGAACTTAACCCAAGTTTTCTGATTCTAAATTGTTTTGTATAACTAAAATATTTCACTGATAGTACATATAATTTGTTCAAAAGCTTACAATAAAAATGTACATACACACACATTTTTTTGTAACCTTATGAAAGTTACAGAAGATTTTATCCTTCTCATTTTATAAATAAGGCAGAAGTTAAGTGGACCTTCTCATGGTCACACAGCTACAAAGTAGGACTTTGAGTCCTGTCTGGATACAGGGAGACTACTGCATAAGGATGTGCTACTGACCCACACTACCTCAAAACAGACATATAAGTAACTGACCACTTATAAAATACTTTAATGTAGATAGACAAGTTGATATAGATGTCCTCTCCACAGAGGAAAAAGTTGCTGATTTTACCATGGTGCAGATCTGGCAAGATTATAATGGAAAAGGACAGCATAATGAATAAAAACCAATCAGGCAATCCAATACTGGAGCATGTAGTAAAAATATGTTGAAAACATACCCATTTTGAGGTCCTCCATCATTTATCACATTTAAATGAGATAACTGTTTTTTCAAGTGGAGTTTATAACTTGCATTAATTCTTAAAAATAACATCTGGAAAAGAAGTAATATGGTTTCTTAAAGCTCTTTTGAATACGCATCTGAGTCATCAGTATCAAATCAATATTATTTGGAAAAAATATATTTATTTATTTATTTTGAGAGAGAGCACGAGCAGACGAGGGGCAGAGAGGGGGAGAGAGAATCCCAAGCAGGCTCGGTACTATCAGTGCGGAGCCCGACATGGGGCTCGAACTCCTGAAACTCGAGATCACGACCTCAGCTGAAATCAAGAGCTGGACGCTTAACCAACTGAGCCACCCAGGAGAAAATATTTTTTAAAAATCTTTGCTTTGGATATACTTTTAAGATGCTACTCTGAAGGTATGTAGTTGCTATTTTAGTACAGTTTTCTCTATACTTGGATAAAACCTCTTTTTCTTATCAGCAGTACTTCTTTTAGTGATATGATTTATCACTGCCTTTCTGCTCCTTTGAAGTCCTCTGGGATATATAACTGGGATCAACCAAGCCAGGTATAAAGAAATGGGAGAATTCTGCAGTATATTAAATAGGAACTTCAAGACAAAACAACAAAGTCACAATGGTAGAGGCAAAGATACTTTCATCCTTCTAAATTGATAAAATTACTTCAAAGTATTTTACTGCTCCTGCATGCAGAGTTTTGATTCAATGGCCCAATACTTCTGTGGGAAATACCTGACCTGAAATTATATACAGTTAATCTTTGGAAATGATTTTGTGGGGGCGCCTGGGTGGCTCAGTCGGTTGGGCGTCCGACTTCGGCTCAGGTCATGATCTTGCGGTCCGTGAGTTCGAGCCCCGCGTCGGGCTCTGTGCTGACCGCTCAGAGCCTGGAGCCTGTTTCAGATTCTGTGTCTCCCTCTCTCTCTGACCCTCCCCCCGTTCATGCTCTGTCTCCCTCTGTCTCAAAAATAAATAAATGTTAAAAAAAAAATTTTTTTTAAAAAATGATTTTGTGGAGTAACATGTTTTCTATGGGAGGAAATATATATAAAGGCACCTATGGAATTTTATGGAATTACTGGTATTCATGTGACAATACTGACATAAAAATCTAATTCTTGCCCAGCTTTGATAAGAGTTCCCTTTAAATTATGATGCAGATTAAAAAATATATATATGAAATACCACCTATATGCCCAGCTCCTTGACCTGGCCATAATTAGAACTCAGATTGACAAATCCAAAAAGTGAGAATGTCAGAGGTGAGATCTTATACTTGGAATGAGAAGGATGGCTTGGCTAGGAAGAAATAAGGAAAAAAAAAGAGAGACCCAAGTGGGTGCTCCATATCTTATGGCTCCTCCTCAATCCTCAGTGGGCCTCAAAGGAGTTGGATGATATTTAATCATGACATTGGAATGATTAATGAAAACCTAGGGAAGCATGCAGAAAAACAGGTACTGTCAGATGGAAGTCTGAGGTGGTATGGGAAAGGAAACCACCAGGAGAAAGAATAGGCAAAAGACCCTAATTTGCTCCCAGATACCATTTCTATATACTCAACCAATTAGAGGCAAACTCAAATAAGAAACTTGTTTGAAGAGCAAAAATTCCAGTGAAAGTTAAGCTCATTAGTCATACAACTAAGCTTATATTCCAACACTGTATCATTCTACAACTGGGCTCAAATGAGATAGCCTCGTATAGAGGGAACAAGCTAAGGTGGGTAAAGAAGACTGGAGGGGCGCCTGGGTGGCTCAGTCAGTTAAGCATCTGACTTCAGCTCAGGTCATGATCTCATGGTTTGTTCATACGGTTCAAGCCCCGTATCAGGCTCACTGCTATCAGTGCAAAACCTGCTTAGGATCCTCTGTCCTCCTCTTTCTCTGTCTCTCCCCAGCTCACTCACACTCTCTCTCAAAAATAAATATACATTAAAAAAAAAAAAGATTGGGGAAAAAATACTGGAATCTTTAAAGTATCAGGAGAGGGAAACAAAGCAAGTAGAGGGGATGGGGTAGAAGTGTAGGTGAACAATGGAGAAAACTCTGATAACACTTTTGTAGGGGAAGACAGTAGGGACAAGGAGTGGATATTTCATAGGTGAGAGGTGCCAAATTTTACTATTTTCCTGGTTTATGCATACTAAGATCATTTATGTTGATCTAACAAAAATAAGGTATACTGACTGAGTTATTTCATGTGTCCTCTCATTATTAATTCTATCACTAATTCCTTCACTATCCCATTTGGATTATAATAACAGCAACATACTTTACTATTGATAAATGCCAACTCTGATTTTCAAACTGATACTATAATGAATGACGTAAGTAGAATCTGGGATCTCTATACTCAATGGACAAAATATCTGTTTTTTATAATTGCTGACCATATAGCAGAGCAATTATTGCTCTGGCCTGTCAGAGCTAGAGGCACTTTGAAATCAGACATTTATATTCACATTTCACAGGTTAATATAACAGCTGAAAAAATAATCATATCGGAAAAATGAACTTAACTGTACCAAAAGTATATAAAAAACACTCCAATTCTGTATGCATATGTTATGTATAAAAAAAGTAGTTTTAGGAATTACTACTCACTTGTGTTTGTTCTTCTGGAAGAAGATCAAATATAGCTTCATGCATTTTTGCCATTTGCTTACAAATATTCCTGAAACAGGCAGAAGGAACGGGAGCTTTCACCTCATACTGGCAGAGAAAAACAATGAGAATTATGTTCATGTCCTCTGGATTGTTAATTGTCTCCAGTGTTTCCTAAAACATATGTTTTTGGCCCATGTTACATGTCTAACTCTGGTATAGTTGAAACTTACACTTCAACCGTGATCTGTGCTACTCATGCATATCTCAAGAACTTTTCATTAACTATCCTAATCTAATCTAAGAAAGCCATAATAATTTAGTGGCTAAGAACACAGGCTGCTTCCCTTCTTAAGATAGACTGCTTGGGTAGGGCGCCTGGGTGGCGCAGTCGGTTAAGCGTCCGACTTCAGCCAGGTCACGATCTCGCGGTCCGTGAGTTCGAGCCCCGCGTCAGGCTCTGGGCTGATGGCTCAGAGCCTGGAGCCTGTTTCCGATTCTGTGTCTCCCTCTCTCTCTCCCCCGTTCATGCTCTGTCTCTCTCTGTCCCAAAAATAAATAAATATTGAAAAAAAAAAAAATTAAAAAAAAAAAGACTGCTTGGGTTCAAATCCTAGCTCTTTAGATGGTTAGCTAATGCTGGGCAAGTTACTTCATTTCTATCTCAAAGGGCTTTCTGTGAGGACTTAAAAAGGTGACTCATAAGAACACAAAACAGTGCTTAATACAAAGTGCTCAAAAAATGTTAGCTACCAATCTGGCTCAATATACAATGACGTGAATCTTTAAAGTAGGCCTTCTAGGGGCTCCTGGATGGCTCAGTCGGTTAAGCGTCCGACTTCAGCTCAGGTCATGATCTCACGGTCCGTGAGTTCGAGCCCCGCGTCGGGCTCTGGGCTGATGGCCTGCTTCGGATTCTGTGTCTCCCTCTCTCTCTGCCCCTCCCCCGTTCATGCTCTGTCTCTCTCTGTCTCAAAAATAAATAAACGTTAAAAAAATTAAAAAAAAAAAATAAAAATAATAAAGTAGGCCTTCCAAATTAAGAGATTATTTTTTAAAGATGATTTTAAGAATGTGTCAACATGATCATATCCGAAACCAATAGGACTCTGGTATCAACATTTTCTTTTTCTTTTATAGGTAAGCCAATAAAGTAATCATATTTACTTTAAAGATGGTAAAGGAAGACTTTTTCAGCAATGACCTATACTGAAAATTTAAACTTAGGTAAATTCATTTTAACTATTCTTACATTTGGAACAATATACTGGTATCATTCAAACAGCCATCTTTGGCCCATATCTTATAATTCACAGCTTAAATTATATACTATTTTTATTTATAAGACAAATCTGGGCTAAATAATGTACTAATCTTACATAGTTATTAAAATGATAAGTTCCAATATATTGCTCTTAAAAGAACCATGCAGAAGTCACCACATGACTGGACCAAGATCAGCAAAGTTGTGACCAACCTAATGGTTTACCTTTCTTCAGCCTGGAAATACAAAAATCCCCTTATCTTCTATTTTTTTTATTAATAATAACGATATAATTCACACACAATAAAATTCACCCTTTTCAAGTGTACAATTAACTGGTTTTTAGTAAACTCATAGTTATAAAACCATTACCACTAACTTCCGAACATTCTCCTCACCCCAAAAGAAACCCATAACCTTTCACAGTCACTCCCATTCCTCCCTCCCTGAGGTTGCTCCTGACAAGCACTAATCTCTATAAATGTACTCCTATAACACATGGCTTTTTGTGACTAGCTTTTTTCACTTAGCATAATGCTTTCAAGATTCATCCATGTTGTAGGGCGCCTGGGTGGCGCAGTCGGTTAAGCGTCCGACTTCAGCCAGGTCACGATCTCGCGGTCCGTGAGTTCGAGCCCCGCGTCAGGCTCTGGGCTGATGGCTCAGAGCCTGGAGCCTGTTTCGGATTCTGTGTCTCCCTCTCTCTCTGCCCCTCCCCCATTCATGCTCTGTCTCTCTCTGTCCCAAAAAAAATAAATAAACGTTGAAAAAAAAAAAATTTTAAAAGATTCATCCATGTTGTTGACATGCATCAATACTTCATATTTTAAATGGCTGCATGACATTCTATTGCATGAATATACCACAGTTTATCCAATCATCTATTGATGGACATTTGGTTTCTTTCTACTTTTTGGCTATCAGTAATGATGCTATGAACATTCATGTACTGGTTTTTGTGTGGACAAATGTTTTCAATTCTTTTAGGTGTATACCTAGAAGTGGAATTACTGGGTCATATGGTAACTTTATATCTAATCTTCTTAGAAAATGCCAAATTTTTTTTAAAACCCTACCCAGATATGAGGGTTCCAATATCTCCATATCCTCACCAACACTTGTTACTGTCCTTTTATTTAGGCATCCTAGTAGTTATGAAGTAGTTACCTCGTTATGGTAACATCCCCTTATTTTACTACTACCCTGTACTGAATAGTATCTGCCCAAATTCATGTTTACTCTGAACTTTATAAGGTCATACTGGATTAGAGTGGGCACTAAATCCACTGACTGATGTCCTTATAAAAGAAAGGAGAGGCACTTGGGCGACTCAATTGGTTAAGAGTCCTACTTCGGCTCAGGTCATGATCTCACGGTTTGTGAGTTCAAGCCCCACGTAGAGCTCTGTGCTGACTGCTCAGAGCCTGGAGCCTGCTTCAGATTGTCTCTCTCTCTGCCCCTGTCTCCCTCTCTCTCTGCCCCTCACCTGTTCACGGTCTGTCTCTCTCTCTCTCTCTCAAAATAAACAAACATTAAAAATTTTTTAATGAAAAAAATTAAGGAAATTTAGAAAGACACACAGAAGGAAAATGGCCACATGAAGACAGAGGTAGAGATTGAAATGGAGCATCTATAAGCCAAAGAATGCCAACAGAGAATGAGAGCAGGCACCAGAAACTAGAAAGAGGCAGGGAAAGACTCTTTGCTAGAACCTTCAGAGGAAGCATGGCCGACAACACTTTGATATAGGACTTCTAGCTTTTAGAATTATGAAAGAATAAATTTCTGTGGTTTTAAGCCACTTGGTCTGTGGTAATTTGTTTTGGCAGCTCTGGGAACCTAGTACACCCCCAAAACCTTCCTTCACACCTAAAGATGAACCTTGCTTTCCCTAAAGATACCATTCTTTTTTTTTTAATTTTTAAAAAAATGTTTATTTATTTTTGAGACAGAGACAGAGCATGAAGAGGGGAGGGTGAGAGAGAGAGAGAGAGAGAGAGAGAGAGAGAGACAGAATCTAAAACAGGCTCCAGGCTCTGAGCTGTCAGCACAGAGCCCAATGCGAGCCTCGAACCCACGAAACACGAGGTCGAAGCAGGGCTCGAACTCATGGACCGCGAGATCATTACCTGAACCGAAGTCGGACGCTTAACCAACTGAGCAACCAGGCGCCGCCCTAAAGATACTATTCTTTCCATCTAACCTTCACCATCATATTTCTTCAGTCACTGAAACTTGATACCATATTCTTTATTCTCAACCCTTAAAATTTGATTCTTGCCACCACCCAAACCACCTTCTTCCACTATTAACAATCTTCTGAAATTTCTTTCTGCCAAAATCACTAAAGACATCCGAACTTCCAAATTTAGTAACTTTTCTACTTCTGCTTCCTCACTACTCTGCAGTATTCACATACCTTCACGCTTGAAACACAGTCCTTGTGTGACACAATGTTTTCCTGGTTCCTTCCTCCCCTCCTGGAGGAAAAAGATGTCTCCTATCTCCTAAGTGCAAAGCTTCTTCCGTGTTAAGCCCCCTCATTTTCCCTTCTTTCTCTCCTATCAATCTCATTCAATCTAACAGCTTCTAATTTATCTCTAATCCAGAACCACTTTATTAAGTCACACATTTCCTAAATGTTCCATACCATAACTGAGTTTACTATAAGCTTTCCCAAACCTGCCTCTTTCCTGTTTCAATTACTATTGCTGTTATTACAATCCTCCTGCTCACACAGGAGGATCTCCAACTCAGTTTTTATTCCTCCTTCTCCTTGGTTCCTTATATTGAATTGGTGACTAAGTGCCATCAAATGTACTTTCAGAGTATTTTGCACATTAATACTCTAGGTCAGAGTTTCTCAACCTCTACACTACTAACATTTCGGCTACATCATTCATTGTTGCGAGTGCTGTCCTGTGTATTATAGGATGTTCAGTACCAGTATCAGCCCACTCCCCAAACTCTGACAACCAAAAATATCCCAACACTTCTGAATATCCTCTGGGAACAAAACTGTCTCAGTTGAGAAACATTGCCCTAGGTGAGGTCTTCAATACTTATCTGAAAAAATATACTAGCATTTTAATGAGTCCAATTATAAGGTCAACAAACATTAAATAAAGCTGCTTGGTACACAGTAACTTCTGGATAAGTATTTTCTTAGATGTGTATGTATATGTACATATATGTATGTATATATGTACATATGTATGTATATGAGTATATGGACCTACATATGAGAATACGTATGCTGGAATGAATGTGTCAGATACTACAATAGTTGGAGTGTACAAAGATGAATCAGAGACAGGGAGCTTTGGGGAGCTGCCTAAAAGCTGGTTGGTGTTCCAGAAAGTGGACATTGCATGCTACAGGAACACGGATGAAGGACATTTAGGCAATAGTGGAGGTGGCTTCCGGAGCAGCACACCTGGGCTGCTGAGTCTTCAAATGATAACAATTACGTGAAACTATTCCAAACAGAAGACATTTCATATCACCTCAAATCCATTCTACATACTATCTGATAAGTCCTTCTGAAGTGCAATTCTAATCAGGTGATTTGTTAGTTTAAAAACCTTGGGGTTCTACTTCTGTTTAAAATTTAGAAAGCTGTAAGACAATGTTCTACTACCCTAACCACAAGAAAAACCATAATAATTTACAAAATCATAACTTTTCTTCAACCCATCAGAGAACAAAGGTCCCCAGAACCACAGGAACGAATTCCAAAGAGTCACAAGCCCTTCTGAGGAGATGGGACACACGAAATGTCTCATTATGGCAGAGCATAGGAAGAAGAGGTGACTACCACAGAAGCAAAAAAGAAAGAAAACAA